AAGAAGGGTCCAGGTTGGTCTTGCGGGGGCCAAGAGGCCACTAGGGGTCTTTGTACTAAGACTTGAGGGTTTCCAGGTTGGTGACAGACAGATTTCATTAGTAAATTGGGCTGAAGTTCAGAACCTTTGTAGTTTTGAGTAGAAGACAGCATGGCACGGTGATTAAGTGTTTGATGATTAGACATGAACTTCGTGGGTTCAAATCCCAGGCCCACTTTTGTGTGGTTGTACAACTTTGCAATGGGTTCATTCCTGCTGGGACACAGGTTATCCACATGCAAACAAGGCTGATGCTATGTTGGCTGTTATTACCACTTGGAGTACCAGCATGTATCATGGTCAAGTGGATTTCTTTTCCTTCCTTTCATCAAGATTTTATTTATGTATTTGAGAGACAGAGGCATAGACAGAGATGGAGAGACAGAAAAAAAGACATCTTCCATCCTCTGGTTTGCTCCCCAAACGGCTGCAATGGCCATAGCTGGGCTGATCCGTAGCCAGGAGCCAGGAACTTCCTCCAGGTCTCCCAGGGGGGTGCTGGGTCCCAAGCAAGCACTGGGGCCATCTTCCAGGCCACAGGCAGAGAGCTGCATTGGAAGAGGAACAACCGGGACAGGAACTGGTACCCACGTGAACTGCAGGGGAAGGCTCAGCCCACCACACCACAGTGCAGACCCAAGGTCAAGTGGATTTCAATCTCAAACCCCAAAGCCACTCCTCATCAGTAAACTTGATTGTAATCTTCTGAGGAGTGAAGGGGCAAAATACTTGACCTTTCTGTGCAACTTCCCATTCTTGTAAACTTCTGAGCAATACCTGATCTGGGCTGCCAGATTTAGCAAATGAAAGCACCCAGTTAGGGGCAGGCATTTGACACAGCAGTTAAGCCAATGCTTGGGGAAGTTGCCTCCAATACTGGAGTGTCTGGATTTGAGTCCTGGCTCTGCCCTTGATGCCAGATTCCTGTTAATGCACACCTTGGGAGGTTCAAGACTCATATCCCTGTCAGCCACATGAGAGAGCCAGATTGAGTTCCTGGGTCCTGTGTTCAGCCTGGCCCAGTTCCAGCTGTTGTGGACATTGGAGGAGTGAACCAGAAGATCAGATATCTCTCTGTCATCTACCAGTCTGTGTGTCTATGTCTATAATCTATCCTTAGCACGCTCTCTCTCTCTCTCTGTCTTCAAATAAATAAGTAAATAAATAGGTTGTAAAAATAATTCTTTAATGCCCTCTAACTAAATCATTGAATTTTAGGGAGGCAACAAATACTTTTTTATTACAAATATACCCCATGCAGTATCAGGCACATAGTTCCACTAAGCAAACTATTCCCCATAGTTCCAGATTTAACTGGAATCCTGAGCATCTGACACCTGGCAGCAAACAGGTAAGCCCGGCCCTGGGAGCTGGCATGCCCTGATGTGATTCCAGGGTATCATCTCATGCAGGCATATTCTGCTATTGTGTTTCCACAGGAAATTTTTTAAAGAAAAATAATAAGACATGTGACAGTTGCAGCAAAAGACGTAACAGAAGCTGGTCTCGTGTAAATATTATGTTAATTAAAACAGATGGGGTTGGAGCATAAACAAAATAACGGCAGGGGGCTGGTTTTTGTTCTGGTTGGTTTCTTAATATAGTAACTCAGTTCCCATGCTGTTAGCACTCTCTCTTTATCAAATGTTGAACTGGGGTATAAGGAAGTTTAAATTACCAGTGATTGGAGGTCCGTTTTCTAAACACTTGGAACAGATGGTTTATTGCCTGAAAAGCGTGCTTCCTTTCGGAGAATGGAGTGTTGAGCTTGTTTTGTTGCAGCTCATTTGTTGACACCAGGTTTGCCCTGAAGATGAACACTTTCCCCTCGGCTCCATTCTTTCCATGGAGTTTGCCTACTGTACAAAGACCTCTTGCATTTCAGGCATTGTGTTGAGCAATGGTTACACCTCCTGCACAACTTCAATAAAAAAGCACTCAATGTGCAGACGATTCTAAAATCAAAAAATGATTTCACAGCAACAGTGATTTTGTTGAAGATATTTATTTATTTATTTATTTATAAAGCAGAGTGGCAGAGAGAGAAAGAAAGAAGAAAGGGAATAAGCTCCATTGGCTGGTTCACTCCCTGAATTCCAGGAGTAGGCCAGGTCAAAGCCAGGAGCCTGGAACTCCATCTCGGTCTCCCATGTGGATATTAGGGACACAAGAACTTAGGTCATCACTCGCTGCCTCCCCAGGTGCATTGGCAGGAAGCTCTCTGATATGGGATGCAGAAGGCTTCAGTGGTAACCGAACCTGCAGTACCACAATGCCCACGCCCAGAACAGTTTTAAAGTGAGTGTCATTTAAGAGTGTATATTTGATACAATCTGACACTCCACCAGCTGAGCAGCAGTGAGCTTAACCAAAACTTCATATCCTTTGTACCAGTTTTGGTGTGAGGGCCTGAGGTCTAGGACCCAATCCAAGATCACGTGTTACCTGGAATTGTCAGGTTGTTTAATCTAGAATCGTTCCACAATCTTTCTTTGCCTTTCATCCGCTTCTTACTTTAAAAATATATCTATTTTGTAGAATATTCTTCAACAGGTGTATCTGATTTTTTTTCTCATGGAAAGATTATGTTAGGTATACTAATAAGGGTTAGAATTGGATTTTCTAAAACCATTCCCATGCGAGGCAAAGGAGTTGGCCCAGCACTCTGTGTATGCGCATTGTCCTCTAAATCCAATTTGGAAATGGACCTTCACACCTCCCATCAGAGGGTCTTGCCTTGAACTGAGTGCTGCATGTTTTTGTAAAGTTCTCAGAATCACATTTGAAAGTAAAACTGGGCTGAGGTGTCTGTGTGTTTCCAGTCGTTCTTCTTGGGAGGAGATGAGCTGCTCTGGATCTGTGCGAATGATCTGAACAAGGTTAAGAGAGGCAGGGACTGTTTCTTGTAAACTGACAGTTCAGAAGAGTGAGTTGGAGATAATCACCTAATCCATTTATAACCATCCAAGTTAACAAGCTCTCACCTTCTCCACAGCGGCCCTTACTTACAGTCATTTCTGCACAAAAGTGGGCCCTCGTCCCTGCAACTAGGTCACCTGCCATGAGCCTTGTGGCATCAGTTTCCCACAATGCCACACAGATCAGTGCACCTTGGAGCAGCAGTAGAACCTGCAGCATAGCACCAAGGACACACGTTGCCATTCATTCTTTCTCTTACTTTATAGACAAACTTCTCCCCCGCCTTGTGTGTTTGTGTGTGTGTGTGTGTGTGTGTGTGTGTCCCACACGAATTCAGACTACATGAGCAGAAAAGCAATGGGGGGACAAGGCAGCCGGCGCAGCGCTGCCTAGTCCAGGTCGCGTCACATGTGCAGAAGGGCTGAGGCCCCACGTGTGAGAGACCCCTAAATGGAGCTATTGACAGAGGTGATGAATGGTTTGCTCAAGAAGCCAACATCAAGTCAGAAGAACGGCTTTTCAGGCTATTTTCATCTGGCCCTGGCCTAGTAGGCCAGCCCCTTCTTGGGTGTGGAGCTTGCTTTCCTCTACGACCTTAAACTCTGTCTTATCAGTGCTCACCCAGGGACAAACTGTACTCCCTGATGACCCCTTGCCAGAGCCACAGGACACTGGAGGATTCTCCAGAGAAGAGATGCAGGATGATCATGCAGGAAGGAATGCTAGCTTTCCAGGGGCTGTGCCCTTCACGTCCACCTTCTGCCGTTTAGAACAGGCTGCAGAGCCTGCCGGTCAGCCCTGTTACCCCTGGGTCGGCCAGTCCCACCCAAGTGCTGCCTGTCCATCTGTTTGCACCCAGTTAGGGGGGGCCTGCTGTGCCCGGCCAGTGCTCAGGCACACGCTGCTCATTTTCTGTTGCGGTAAGAAAGCACTTGCGGACTGGGTAGTCAATAGAGAATCAGTCGATTAGCTCAGAGTTCTGGTGGCTGGGAGGCCAGGAGCAAGAGGCACCAGCATCTAGCGAGACTCCTCCTCCTGCATCGCAGCATGGTGGGGGGCATCACCCGGCCAGAGGCCCCACTTTTATAACGAAGTCAATCCCACATAATCCGTTAACCCACCGATGGATTAATCCCATCACTTCCTAAAGGCCACTCCTCCAAACACCACTGACAAATGAATTTGGGGATTCCATTTCCAATGTAGGAATTTGGGGGACACATTGGAACCATGGCGCACACCATTGCAGGAACTGGGGACTGGAGGCCAGGAGAGCCACCCGCATGCCAGAGGGGCTGTGATGAAGATGGAGGAGTGGCTTAGCTTCGCCTGCAATGCTCTGAGGTTTATGGACTGGAAAGCTGGGGTGGGGGACCCCAGGAGAGACTTCAGTATCATAGGGGGACTCTCTCACAATTTTGTGTCTATTTGTGTGTCAATTTGTCACCTCTGCAGTGACTTGGCTGAAAATGACCCAGCATTTGTTAAATTGAGTACGCCTGAGGCAGAGCCCACTAAAAACCTAATAGGCGTCCTTTAGAAGATAATGAGGTCCCTTTTCATCACCAGCGTTCGCAGAGAGGATGAGCCCATTGGTGGCCCGTGAGGGCATAGGGGTAACTTCTAAACAGTCCTGCTGAAGCCTGAGGTTCTAACAGGTGCAATCGTCAGATATCAGTGAAATTTTGCCTGCTATTTCCCTCAAGACAATTGCTCTTCATTGGCCTTATTCAGCATTCAAGCAGGAAATATTTCCCATGGACAAAGAGGATTAAATTTCATTTTCGACACTGTGTGTCTCTGGCATTTGTGGGATTTATACCCACTTGTATCAAAAGGGAGGACCAAGTTAAGGCAGGGCGTCATTCTATGGTGAGACCACTTGAAAGCCAAAAACAATGCTTGGTTCCTAAAGACCACTCTCTCCAAATGTAGAGGGAATTGTATTCCATCTGGATAAATTTTGAAGGGGAAATGAAAAAGAAAACAGGAGCGAGTATGAAAAAAAATTCCATCTGAAGAAAAAAATCAGCTGCAAATCATTATCACCAAAATAATTTTCCCATTTTATTCAACAAAATGACTGAATGTACACATTTGGCTTACGCACACGGTGTAAAATATTTGCATCTGTCTTCAGTTCCGCCTAGCGATTACCACATGGATTTGGATGTGGCCAATGAGCAGGTTTTATCCAAGGACACGAACGTGCTTGTGCCAATTTGCAGGTAACCTCTGCCGTGGGATTCTTGGTGGGCACTTGCACATCCGCCTCCCCACGGCCAACAGGCCAGGTGCCACAAAACCAGTGCTCGTGTGTGAGAGACACGCTGAGCACAAGTGGTCATTCCCTGACGGGGTTATTAACTGACCGATACAGTTCCACATGCAGAAACACTTTCTTTTTATTTTGCTGCTACTGTACAATGTGTGAAGTCAAATGTCCATGTTTGGAGACCAGAAAATGCAGAAAATCATAGTGGCGTTTCCTTTCTCACCACACGTGAGCATACAGAACTGCAAAGGGCTCAGTGACTGTGAAAAGATCTACAATCCTTCAAAGAGAGCAACATCCCTTGTGTGTTACAGATACATGCCAAATTTGCCACACCACTGCTGAGCCTTGGAGTCGGCTGATGGACCGAGTAACAAGGAAAACATAAAAACCATTTATGTGAGCATATCTTTTACTTAAAGAGTATAAATTATAAAGCATACTAAAACAGCAACGGCCCTGAGAAAAGCTCTTAATTTCTCAGACCAAAAATTATACTTGCAGAAAGAGTTTACACAACAAGGCTGCCTTTTCTGGGAATCATTAAATTAACATTTTTGACATTAATAGAGTAAGAGGTCCAATTACAATAGATGTATCCAGTTGGATTTCTGAAGGCAGTGGGTACATTCAGGAGGAACACCTGCTATGTGGGAGTGGGGGGAGGGGCTCCAGTTAGCTACTCATACGTCATTGGTTGAGTAGCAATTCTATTCCCTCACAGCTGGACAGCATTTGCCTCTCAGGATCAAATGACAATGTCAGCTTGTGGAATGACATGACAGTTTATTAGTTCAATATTTTTCTGGAACATCTACACTTCAGATGAAACGGTACTATTTACAAGCCAGTAAATATACTAAGGGATTCACAGCAGGACTACAAGACGCAAATATACAAAGTTATGGCACGCTTACAGCAAGACTCCCTAAAATGCCAGTATGTTTTGATGCCAAAAGAGAGAGATGAAAATACAGGCCATGTACTGTACGTGAGTCATACTCTGGGGAAAGGTACTATGAGACGCACAAAAGCCTATTCTATGCAAGTGGGATCACAAACATAAAAATAAAATATTTGATATTCTACACTATATTACAAAATAAATATATCCATCAATAAATAGTAGGAAGCCTAGAAACTTTTACAATCTGCGTTGGCTGTTGGCTGCCCAAGTCCCTGTACTACAATTTTCCTTCAAAGTCCTTTGGGTTTAGCATTGTCAGTGATGACAATTCTGCCTAAGTATAAAACTGAAGAATTCCACAGCAGAAGGTTTACAGCCAGAGAAAACATTGGCGTGTTCTACCATTTCATAGCTTCATATTAATAAGATGAAACAGAATGGTTCTGGGTGCGCTGATGGGAACGAGGGATAATGCTAATTTTTGTCTTTTCATTTTTTATAAGAAAAAAGGCAAAAAAAGAAAGTGATATGCAGTTTTCCACACTCCCTGTCCATGGGGAAGAAGAAAAGCACAGAAATGCAGGTTAACCTCAGGACGGTGGTAGGAGGAGGAATGTCTGGGGTGTGCAGCCTAACTGCCTAAGGCCTGGGTTTGCACAGCTCTAACAGTAGTGATTATATGTGTTTGAGACAAGGTTTTTCCAGAAGCCTGGCAGAGCCGGCAGCAGGTGTGGTGCGAAGCAGGGGCTGGCACCTGGCTAGCATCCTGGCATTGGTTCAGGTCAGTTGCCATCACATTAGTAGTGTGAAATAGGCCGGGCTGGGAGCCTTCACACCACTGAAATTCATGAACCAGGGCTGTTTCCCACTTGGATGGCTGGCTGTAAAGCATCTACCAGCCCAACACTGTCTTGTATATTTTAGACATAAAATAAATAAGGTTTTTGCCTAAAGATAAATTTTCTAACCAGAAACTCTGCTGTTTAGCTGAGATTTTGCTGTATATCTGTTACAATGTCCTGTAGAAGGAAGAGAAGTACCGTGGGAGTCTGAGTATACACCGTGTACCTTGGAGTATAAAGGATGCACCATGTTCCAGTGAGGGCACTGAGCCAGGATGTCGGAAGCCAGCTACACACCCACACAGACCTGCCTGCCCTCACACACACACTGTGTTATTTGGAGGCTAGTCCACAAATGCATGGTTCTCAGATTGTTAAATGCACAGCCATCTCAAATTGTCCAGCACTGTACGCCCATTGACGGTGAGAATTTCACTCTGCCAGGGGCAACAGATTCTCCAGGGTTTACCCTCTGGACAGACACCAGAGGGATAAGAGATGTAAAGAGCTGAGATCCAAATTTAGCAAAAGGTTTCTAAATTAATTTCCTTACCTCTATTATCTAGCACAACATGAGTTCATAACACTAAAAGCTTTGTAAAAGGAAGGCTGAGAGTTCCCCAGGATTTAAAAAAAAAAAAGTGCAAGACTTGTGAGGGAGCACTCAGAGGGTGAGAGGAGGCGATGTTCTGAAAGGCGCATTCCTCATCCTAGCAGGAACCAGCTGTGCCGCCCGCCTGCAGGTGCTGGACCAGCTTGGGCACTGCTGGCTTCTATTCCTCTCGCTCAAAGCCCTTGACCCTGTAAGGAGGCACCAAGACTAGTGCCAGTCTCAGTGTCCAGCCAGCTGCCAACTACTGGGCAGAGCCACAGGGCCATCCCACCGAGGGCAGATCAGTTCCAAAATGAGCAGACAGCAGAATGGGAAGCTGGGAAAGCTGCAGGGTTTCTATCTTGAAGCCAATCCGGTGTCAACATTCAAGCTGCACTTTCAAGCTATGTCCTTGTGCATCTATTCACTAGTTCATTTATTTAAAAAAAATCTAGACTCAGGTATCCCCCCCTTTTTTTAGCAGTGGAAAACAGGTATCCATTTATTTAAAAATATAGAACACTTCGTGAATTTGCGTGTCATCCTTGTGCAGAGGCCATGCTAACCTTCTCTGTACGGTTCCAATTTTACTATATGTGCTGCCATGTACGTGTTCTTGATGGGCAACATGCCATAAAGGACGTTATTAAAGCCAAATCCAATTAAGTATGGGGGCTAATCTAAAAATTTGATCACTCACTCTTTGCATCTTGAGAGCAAATGCTTTCCAGTGTCCCCTGCAGCCCACAGTGAGGGTAATGAAGGCCAGTGAAGGCAGGGGACACAGGAATGGGAGAAGCACATGAGGCAGCTGAACAAAGACTAAAGAGAGAAAGTGGAATACGGAAATGAGGAAAAGTAGGGGTGCCGGAGCAAGTGAGAGAGACAATGAAGTGAGGAAACTCTTAAGAAGTAAGGAGTTCAGCAAACAGGCCCCTTCTGATTTTTCTCCTCCTTGTCTCATAATTTTGTCTAAAGACGTGATTTTCTAGGTATAACTGCTTATGATTTTACCAATACATCTGTAAATAACATCCACATGCATCTTTTCCCCTTCTACCCTTCGAACTCCCTCCCACCTCCTATACCCTCTGCAGCAAAAAAAAAAAAAAAAAAAAGGCCGACCCTCAGGGCCGTGCCTCTGGTTCTCCCAGGAACAGATTTCATCCTGAAGCCCCCCCTCACTTCCTTTCTTGACCAGGCCCTGTTCTCTCTTGCACACAGGTCCCTGGAGGATCACTGTTTTCTAGTGTACCTCTGAGGTCACTGCTCCTGAAGCCACTTGCTTCCTGTATCTAGCATGCAGCCTCCTCCCCAGGCCTGCAGCTTGGGGCACCACCAGAACCTCGTCTAACAAAAGCGACACTTACATTCCCAGTAAGTCGTTAGGAAATGCAATACCTCTGAGGATGGTTAAGTTCCTGCTGCAAACGGCTTTGACATAAATCCTACTCAGAAAAGAGATGACTGAGCCCATCCCAGTGACCTTTAATATATACACAGTTGAGTGAGTCATAAGTGTGAGTATATCCTGCCCCTATTTAGAAGCAAAATATGTTCATGAACTCATGTATGTGCTAAGATAGGCAACACAAATATGTGTCTTTTGACACTGAAATTTGCTTAGGGGTCACTGTTTCCAAGTTGGCGTGGAGGATAAGTCATGTGGACTTGCCATTTGTCTTTAGCTAAGGCATTCCCAGGAAATGGCAAGTCCAAAGAAAAATGGATGGAAGGGACTAGACTAACACAAAATATGCATTTCCCACAACAAACCGACCTGTCCATTTCCTAAGGCAACGAGCCTCTGTTATCTGTACACCCTCATTAAATAGTCTCATTAAATAGAACACCAAATATACACATTTACAGTTATTAAATAAGGCACAACCCTCCTCTTCTATCTACAGCCACATTCGGAGACGGCCATGCCTTCATATTTGAACTTGTAGGTGACAACGCCTTTGTCTAAATAGAGGATGGAGATGGGCTCGAGCTTTGTGGGCACACAGCAAGCTTTGGAAGCCTTCTGGGAGTTCTTGAGGTGAACCAAGGCCTGGATAATTGCGTGTTTTGTAGGTGTGAGGTGCTCTGCCAGGGGGTAGTTACAAACACCGCGGCATTCATAGGCTTCATACCCGGGAGGAGCAATGATCCAGGAGTCCCAGCCAATCTCTTTGAAGTCGATGTAGAGCGGGGTCCTCTTGCAGTAGTTGCCTTTGGCGTTCCTCCGGATTCGAGCAGTGGAGTCGTAGATGATGTTCGACCTCATCTGCAGCAATGCCTCTTCCCCAGGCCCCCTGGAAAAGCCATCCACGCTGTCCAGCTCGAGAAGCTGCTCATGGGCAATCATTTCATTCAGTTCCTCCTTCCGCTCCTTGTCACTGCTTTGGTCATCAGAAAACACAACAAGCAGAGGGTCATGCTTATTCTGGGCACTGGTGTCTATCTCCAATTGTCCCCTACTGATGTCCTCAGCTTCATTGTGCCTGCTCTCAATGTGGACCTCCAGCTGGTGGGTCGATGAACTTGACTTCTGCCAACGTCTGATGGCATCCGTGACATCAAAAGTCTCCCACTCACTGTTGGTTCCATAGATCTCCCCTGACACTAAAACCAGCAGGCTTCTTTCCCCGTTGTTGTCTCCTTCGCTGTCTCCTTCGCTATCTAGAACTTCAAAAATGGTAATTTTCCGGTCCACTCCATCGTATATCAGGCGATCTCTTTGCACCAGTGTGTACAACCTGAGTTCAGCCATGATGACTTCTTCATGGTGAGGGATGGACACATTGAAGAGAAGAGGGTATTTTCGGAGTCCATTAAAACTGGCTGGTTGAGAGAACAGATCTGAAATGAAAAGAGAATTGCAAAGATAAGATTTGCAACAGGTGTTTTTATATTTCTGTAATAAGAAGGCCTGCCCATGTAGGAAGCTTGATACAGACAGAATGAGAATTTCAACAAAAACAAACACAATGTTGGCATTCTATGACGCAGAAAATTCTGAAATGTCAAGGGTAGAATCCTAAACTAAGTGAAGTGCCCACGACTAAGGTGGAAAACAGCTGCCTGACGGATGGAGGAAAAACTCACTCTCCCTGCTTGAGAATCCTAAAGCCCATAACTTACAGAACTCAAAGGGACCTTGGAGATTGGGTGGACAAGTCCCCAATTTCTCTAACCAGTAAAGAACCATCAAATGGGATGTATGCTGGTTGTTCTTTCCTTGAAATTTTCCTAGATGGGGACATGAAGGCTTTTCATGTTTGAGTTTATGGGGAGGAGATCCCCATACAGATGTCTTCCTGAAAGTCTTCTGTTAAGGTTGGGGGTTAGTAAACCATGACCCCTAGGCCAAATTGGATCTGCCATCTATTTTTAGAAATAAAGTCTTTTTGGAGCGAGCCCACTTGTTTGTTTATATAGTGTCTGTGGCTACCTTTGCACCATAGTGGCACAGTTAGTCACAACAGAGAAGATACGGCCAGCACAGCCTAAATTATTTGCTATCTGCGTGGCTCTTAACGGAAAGAGTTTGCTGACCTCTACTCTAGACCACAAATCCTGACAAGGGCAATGCAACAGCAACGCAACATAAAGCAAAGAGACCACAGTCGCTGTTTTTTGGATATATGGCTCTCTGTGAGTTGGAATGAGGGGAAATGATTCTTGGGGGGAAACTGGTTGCATTAGTTTTGTGCCCCTAGCACCTGGCATGGAGTTTGACACATCCAAATACTTGAGAATGTTTATGAAACAAATTTTCAAAAGTTCTCTAATCTTAGAAGTATACCTCCAAATACAATAACGTTGACTTCCTACCTGAGAGTCTTACAGGGAGTGCAAAGCTCCTGTACACTTGCCTCAGGTATTATATGTCTCCAAGAAACCCTGGGGACATCTATCATCAGATTATAAAAGGATTCTGCAACATAAAGATGCTAAGGACCTCCAAGTGAGGGGTTCTCAGACATCTTTAGCAGCATATTTTCAATTGTAAACCAAATTGATTATTTTAGTGGGCCCCTGCTCCATATTATACTCTTTCAATATTTGTCTTTAGCCTGTTCTGATATTTTAGAATTGTTGCTTCCTTTAGACTTGTCCTAGTGGTATCTGAAGGGATTGGGTCCAGGACCCTCAGAAGATACCAACATCTGCAGATGCTCAAGTCTCCTAAATAACATGGTATAGTATTTGCATATAACATACACACATCCTCTTGAATACTTTAAATCATCTATGGATTACTTATAATACCTCATGACATGTAAATAGTTGTATTGTTTAGGGAACATGTCATTTTTTTCTGAATATTTTAAATCCATGGTTGGTTGAATCTGTGGGCCTGGAACTCAAGATACTGAGGGCTGACTGATTTCACGGGATTCTGGGTACCACCTAAAATCATTTTTCACACTGCTACTGGGAAATGCCAACTTGCAGAGTGACAGAATGCATTTAAACTCACCTGCGTGGCTCTCAAGCCTTAACCTACTGGTCCAGCAGTAGCTTTCATTCACCCTCTACAGTGCATGGAACACGGCAATTGCTTGATTCATATTTGTTGATAAACTGAATGGATTTATAAGCCCGTGTGTTTTGATTTCTCCACCACAATTTTCTGTTCTTTGAAGTTTCGTATGTGTTCTATGACCTTGGAAAACCCTCTCCCCTCACCTCTGCCCACCCCGTTCTAACTCCTTGCTAGAGCACCACCCCTTTCTCACCTCTCTGTCTGGAAGCTCACGTGCCTCTGAGTCCCTGGAGCACTTTGTTTCTTTGGCCCTTGTCACTTGCATCCTTGTGCTTCAATTCTCTGTCTATGAGTGGATCTTCCCAACTATCCTGGTGGCACCGAGAGCAATCAGCATTGCCCAAACTCCCTTCCATGTCTGTCTGACCTTGATGCTTTAGACAGAGGCAGTGCCTTACAGTATGGATTAGTTGATGGTTTTGGGCATCAGGCCAACTCAGTTTTTGAGTGTGGCATATGTTCTTCATACACCATCAAGCTCTTGGATAAGAAATAGAAGCACCTTGGAAGTTGTCCCCTCACTGTAAGAATAAAGGAGCTTTGACTTCCCCTGGACAAGGAACATGAGCTTACCAAAAACTAGAGAGTATGCAGGTTATTCCACCCATGAGAAAAATGCAAAATAAAATTCACTGTTTCAAGAGGAAGGAATTACAAAGGCAAACAAGGACACTTTTGGTGGTCATGGATATGTTCCCTATTTTGATTTCAGTGAATGTTCACATTTGTCAAAACCTGTCAAAGCAGCACTTCTTTAAGTATGGGGTGTTTTGATTTTTCAATTATACCTTAATTAAGAGGTTCTTTTTAAATAATTTCCCTGCGCAGTTCTGTGCATGTGCAAAGGCAGTAAGTAATAGATGGAAGAGCTACATTTCCAGGGAAGAGAATTAGCATTTGTTGACAAGTTCTTCATACCAAGTGCCTTGCAAACATGGTCTTCTTTGCTTTCTATAGTGGTCCATAATGCAGGTATGGATCCTCTGTTCATTTTGCACTAGAAGCAACAGAGCCTCCAAGCAGAGAGCTGACTGCCCGCTGGAGAGGGGAGGACACAGAGGGGTTGGAATTGAGGGCATGCGCTGTCCACCTGGAGACGGCACTTATTTTCCCCAGACGAGTTGGAGTTGGAGTTGGAGATTTTTTGGTCTTTGGCTCTTAGGGGCTGCACTGAGCAGTCCAGAATAGTCAGAAGAGACATAATAGCAGCCAGCAGGACCATCTCTGGGAAGAGGTGCGAGTCCTCCAGCTCTGCATCTTCTCCCAAAGGCTGGGGAGGGTGCAGCCACGGGCTGTCCCCTGAGAGACATGCTACTGCCCCCACTGGTTGCCAGTGATATCATGCTGGGTAAATTCTACATCCTGACCTGGGTCATCCAAATCCTCCACAGAGAACTGAGACATGAAAATGTTCCTGTTTTTCTGGGGTACGCCAACATTTTCTCACCCCACTCTGAACCAGACACCTGGGTTCGGTGCCAGGCAGTGTCAGGCAAGGCTCCCACAAAAGGAGGTGGCTCCATCTCAATGCACTTCTATGTCCAAACGGGGTCTATGTTCCCAACTTGTTATTTCCCCCAGAGATAAGTCACTAAGGAAGAAACTTGATGATGGACTACATTGTATTTTATTTTTGTTTATTTATTTGGAGGGCAGAGAGATAAAACTCCCACCTGCTGGTTCATTCCCCACATATGCCCACAATGGCAGGTACTGAGCCAGGCCACATTCAGGAACTGGGAGCTCAAGCCAGGTCTCTCTAATGGGTGGCAGGGATCCAATAACTGGGGCTACCACCGCTGCCCCCCAGAGTCTGCATCAGCAGGAAGCTGGAGTCAGGAGTAAGGGCTGGGACTCAAACCCACCCAGGCGTCTTAACCACTAGGCTAACAGCCCACTCCTGGTCGATTAAATGTTGAAGTCTAATGATGTCCTAGGAACTAAGGAATATCTACTCAACATTTGCTTTGATGCCTAGAATACTAAGTAAGCTGTTAATAATCACCAAAGTTTGGTCAGCACTTTATAGCAAATGGAGCGCTTTCTTTCCCATAACTATTTCTGAACTACTCAGCTGTATTATGTAGTTACTATGATCACTGCTTTACGGATAAGGAAATTGGGACCTAGTGAAAGGAAGCTAATTATCTACCACTACTAAGTCAACCAGCTCTTGAAATTCCAAAGCCTGCATCCTATCTCTGCCACTGCCCTTTTACTCGCAAGAACATCTGGCCAACATCAATCAAAAAACAAAAGAAAACAAAAAAACCCACCTCTTTTATATCTGCTTAATGACTATAAAAGCATAACTGGTAAGTATTAAAGAGTTAGTTTCGCCTCTACCACAGATATTAGATTTATTGCCTTTTGGGTTTCTAGCAATGGATTAAATGAAGGATTAACTTTCCAGCGCATTAGATTTCATTACTGAATTTAAATATCTGAAAGGAGAAAACACACTTCTTACACCAATAATTTAAAGCTTCTGCATTACTCCTAACAAACATACAGAAATGCTAAACTGGATCATTAATTAAGCTATGCACAATTCCCAGAAACTATAAACAGTGTTCCAAGGAAGGCCATGACACATCAAACACAACACAGCTTTAAAAAAAAATCACTAAAATATCTTTTCATCTTGTATGACTGTTTTAAAGTAAGGTCACAAAGTGGAAACTCATCCAAAGTTTGAATAAAACACAAATCTCAACTTTCCATTTTCATTATTTTTCTTTCTAAGTAGAAGTTGGCAAATTTTGTAGACAAATAAAAGCCAAACTGCGAATTGAAGTGCCTCTGGAAAATGACAAAGAGCCAACAGCAGACCAATATTATGTTTTTTAATACTTGATGGCCAAATTAAAGTTTCAAAGACTCAGGATGCCAAAATGATAGACACATTGTGACTTTGGATTAAAAGATGTTTTTAACTACCCTCTGGGGTCCTGAAATGACCATGCAAACGGTATGCATCAAACTCTGCATTGTTTTTGTGAATCTTTCTGCACACATTCTTATGCAGATAGAGTCGCCCTGATCCACATCATTCCCACGCATTGTAAGTCTACTTCTCACTCCTTGTAAAAAGAAGATTGAAGCCAAAGTTGATCTGCAAAAAGGTGAGCTCACCTTCATTCTTGAAACTCCTGATGATGTTGGCAGAGGGCATGGAGGTGCGATCCGTGGCGAACTTGTTGTAAAGTTCCAGCATGTACTCAGGCGGGTCGACCTTGGCGGACTCCTGCGTAGGAATGTCGGACAGGTTCAGCGTCTTGAGAAACTCATCCTTCATGCTCTGGAGCAGCGTGTTAAAGTCCACACCGTCTTGCTCCGAGAAGACATCCTCGAAGAGGGGCATGTCTTCCTCCAGAGGCGACTGCTCCAGGCCCATGATGGGGCTCCCAGCCACGGAGTGAGCCACCAGGCAGAAGACAGCGCACAGCCCGAGCACCGGAGAACCCATGACTCCGCTCAAGGCCCCGGAGCAACCCAGGAAGGTCTAGCTCTCCTGGGCTCTAAGTGGCAGTTTTATCTTGCCGAGCGAGCGTAAATGTCTCGTGTCACTGGAGACAAGTTTGGAAACTCTTCCCCTCTCTCCCCCTCCCCCGACCACTCTTCCCCTCGGCGAAAGTCAGGTTGCAATAATTGGATAACAAAATCCCCTGTAGGGGCCTAGCCTTTCTTATCTCCCCAGTGTAAACTTGTGCACCAGATTTTGTTTCTATCTTGCGATCCCTTTTTCTTTTAATGAGCATTTTGTAAACATTTCCACATTCTGACACTGGTGAAGAGATAGGACAATTTTCTCCACAAAGACTCTCTCCTCTTCCTTCCAGTTCACTTCCTTTTGGCAAGAATGCCTAAGTTCTGCTTTTTCTGAGTTTCAGTTTCACACATGCATATAACGGGTCTTGAGAATCGACATAAGACGCATCAGTGGTGATGCATGTTAACTTGAGTGATGGCGTTTATAACTACAAATAAACATTTCTGAAGACAGGCCAAATTGCCACCATCTCCAAGTTGAGTTAACAGATATAGATACATTTATAGGCCTTTTTAGAAGCAAGAAAGTATCAACTTCAGAGTCAATAGCCTTTTCCTACAAATTTGAACTGTCAAAATTGGCTTTGAAAAGCAGGGCAGGTACTTAATTATAATGGCAACTAGAATTTACTGGGGGCTTGGGACAGACAGGTGCTATGCTTAGTGCTGCACGTGGAGCATCTAACACACACTTAGTAATAATCACGGTCTCATGCTTGGGTCAGAGAGGTGCATCACCTGTCAGAGGTCACAGTCGGACAGCCTGACTGTTCTGAAAAAGAAACAGTCATTCCTGTAAGCCACTATTGCCACTAGACAATGATGCTGAAAGGCTAACCAGTCCCCAGAGCAGCCCTGCACCCAAGCAGTCACAGTCAGGAGACAGAGCAGTGTGTGGCTAGGTGGGGACCTCAGGGCCTTTGCCTGCATGATGAATTGTTAATACAACCAAACCCTCTGCCAAACTCATCTTCATAACTAAACCAAAATAGTCGTCCAGCAGCTCCGGCAAAAGCTTGGCAAACAAACTTCTTGTCAGATGAAAGATGCCAAACACCTTGCTCTGAAAAAAAATTGGTAGAATTGATTATGCATCCAGTTTAGGGAAGACAGGTCAGGTGCATCACACTTGCTGCCCTACATGGTGACAGGAGCAGGCGCAGCACAGCCAGTGTGGCCCTGCTGTCACCTCCGCTGGGGCAGTGGCATTGGCCTCTCTGATTTGTTCAGTGCACTCGCTGTGCAACAACTCAGGCACACTGGCGGAGCATTCAGGCAAGTCTTTGTAGATGTTTAGATGTTGAAACTGGAATATGTGCTCAGCTTCTGAATTAAAAGTTCCTACATTTACCCGAATCCACTAGCTACAGTCCCCTTTCTCTGCATACTCCTAAGGCTTCTGATAATTTTCTGATTCTACAGCAAAGCTTTTTAGTTAACATAGAGAGAATTATATTTTGTTTAGAAGTGGTAATTGCCCATTCATTTAACAGTTGTTGGGTCTGAGTCAATGTTTTCCTTTAATGAAATTTTCTGCTATTACAGTAAAAAGACAGTTGTCAACTGGAAATAGATTATACACTGAGCAGGTACAAATGATCGAGTTCAAGATGGATAACCTGTTCTCTGTTTTAACATACGGTTTCATTTTCTAAAAAAAAAAAAAAAAATATTATTGATTATTTTAGCACGATCTTTCTGGCAGCATTCCAGCAGGCCTGTATCATTTCTGGTATCAGGACAAGCAGCTATTTATCTTTGCACACACAGAAATGTCAGCGCACACTCCAAATCTCTGAATGACAGGCATGTGCCTGGAACTGCCACAGGACAGCAGAGCAAGTGGTGGTACTTAAAACCCCGTGGGCTCCCTGGGCTCAGAGGTCAGGACAGACACACATCCCACCCTACAGAGTCCTTTACGTTATCTGGCAAAAGCTACAAAAAACAAAACACAATGAAGCATAACAAAACAAAAAACACCAAACCAAAACAGAACACACACCGACTCAGACCTCGCCGGCTTCTTGTGCTCATGTTAGAGAAACGGTGTGAGTGAATACGTGGACCAATTTCTCCATCAGAAGGCTTATTGTAGTTAAAGAGTAAGAAATAGAACAGGTGAATGACTATTATCCCAGCTGTTACCCACACCACACCATCTTGAAATGCATGCTCAGAAAGGTCCTTGAATTTCCACACTTACGTGGGGGTGGGTGAGGGAGGAGGATGGAGGTGGAGGGAGGGAACGTAAGCTTGCTCCCTCCTCTAGGCCCGAGACTCCTCGTGTGCGGTCTCTTAATCCCCGTGATTCTCTCTGAACACCTTTCTTGATGCAACCGTCCGATTCTAAAACTCCATGTTCCTTCTCCTACCCTCCCAGTCTACTCTAGCATTTTGCCCTGATCTCATTATTTTGGACTCCACCCACTTAGAACGTGTTACAATCCATTCAGGGTGGACAGAAGGTCACCATCTTGCCGAGCCAATGATACAGAATGTATGTCTAGACATTTTCTGAGGGCTCGCGTATGTGGAAAGCAATGTTCATTTTAATCCCTCCACAAACGCTCCGGAGCCTCTGTTTTACCAAGTACGAGGCCGATTTCCGAGGCTGGTTCCACATTTGCACAAACTTGACATTGGACTTTGTTGGGTTCTCAGGGCCATCTGTGAGGCAGACAAAGGTAGATCCAGGAGACAGCATCTTTATGAATGCTACTGTTTCCTTAGCAGTGGACAGACCCTGATAAATGCAATCAATACAGATCTGACAAGAGGCCAGTGGATTCAGGAATCGACTTGAGGCTCATGGAACCCTCTCTACCTTGGATCCTGCTTCAGAAACATTACATTACTCTTTTTAACTAATAAGAAATCTTCCAGGCTCTGGGGTATGCCTTCTGAAACCAGGTGTGGTAATAAAAATAAATTCAGGGGTAGATGTCTGGCCTAGTGCCTGCATCCCACATCTGAGTGTCTGGGTTCAAGGCCTGGCTTCGTTCGTGATTCCAGTTTAATGCTAATGCAGGCTATGGGAGGCAGTGGTGATAACTCAAGTAGTTGAGTCCCTGTCATGTGAGACCTAGATTGAATTCCTAGCTCCCAGCTTCAGCCTGGCTTAGCCCCCACCATCATGGGCATTTGGGGAGTGAACCAGTGGATGAGAGCTCGCTCTCTCTCTCTCTCTCTCTCTCGCTCTCTCTTGCTGTCTCTCTGTCCCTTGAATAAATAAATTAAAATAAATTGAAACATGTTACATGAATGCAAACATGTTGCATTCAGCAGACTATTTCAACACACACATGTTCATGCAAGTAACTGTAGCTCGTTGGCTTTCACTATTTAATAGTTGTAAACTTTACAAATATGTAAAGATGTGTTTGTTCTTGTGTTATTAATAGATACTTGGATTTTTTGGTTACTGTAGTAAACAGTACTGTTGCGGATAATCTAATTGTTATCTTCCATTCAAGTGCTATCCAACAGAACTTTCTTTTAGGATGGAATTGTCCTCTATCTGTCCTGTCCAATGCAGTAACCACTGGAACAGCATGTGGGTATTGAGCATTTGGAGCATGTCTGAAGCAACTGAGGGACTGAAATATTCATTTCAGTTCATTTTCATTCATATTTAAGTAGCCGCAAATGGCTAGCTGCTACCATATTGGACAGTGCAGGCCTAGAATACTGGTAGGTGTATATTTAATATTTAATAAGAATGAATAAGGGAACAAAATGTTCAGCTAGTAGTCAGGAAATTCTCTAACAATTTTATACAATGCCGACTTGTTTTTCCAAATGTTTTACCAATTCTGTCCCTCCCGGCAAGCGCTCCGGCTGTGTACTCTCGTCACCTCTGTGTCAGCTGACTGTGGGGACTCTGGCTGAGCCTGTGGCTCTCTCTCTTCTGCTGCTCTTGCCTATCTATTCCTGAGATTTGCCAGAGATAAACTCCTGAGGGGTTCGGGTTGGCTCCCACGCTCTAAACTGAATAACTCACCCATCCAAATCACGGCACCGGAGTATAAAATTGTTTCGAAGGACAGGAAAAGAGATCTTCATAAACATAGCAAGATTCCTATTCCATAATTAGGAGAACAATAAAATAAGTTCAATAATCCCCAAATCCACTTAGAAATTCAACAAAACTCCTCCAATGTTCCTAACAGGACTTTGTATAGACCTTGAAAAGGTTATCAAAACACTCGTGTAGGTAAAAGGACCGAGACTAGCTGGGGTTCGCTTGGGGAAGATGTAGGTGGAAGACTTTCTGTGCCAAATGTTAAGACCTATTAAACACCATTAGCAATTATGACAGCGAGGCGCTATTGTAGGGGTAGATCACCAGAGTAGAGAAGAGCCTGGGGAAAGACTTACACAAATACAAAAAGCTGCTACTGACTCGTTGGTGTTGTGGCTCTGTAGGAGAAAGCTAAAGAATTTAATGAACAATGCTGGGCTCTGCTTTGGAAATATTAATTGCCTGCTTCTAACGTGATAGAAAAAGAAAATCCTTGGGGCCCGCGTTACAGCGCAGCAGGCTGAGCCACCACGTGTAATGCCGACGTCCCCTGTTGGTGTGCTGTCCTCACAAGATGTCTCCAACCCCAGAAGGTAACAATAAGATAAATGATTATCCTATCCTCATTCTCTAAATAAAAGATATCCACATCTAGAACAAGTATGTGCATGGATATCACCTATCAAATTGCAAAGTAGCAAAACTATAATTGGTAGTATTAGCTTTAGAAAAGCTGGTAATAAAGTAGCAAAGCTATCACTAGTATTAGCTTTAGAAAACGCTTTGCCAAGAAGTTCTCGGAATATTGAATCCCCCTATGACATTTTAACTCCAGGTTGTTGTGTTGGCTCCCCTGTCAGAAACACACTTGTTGCAGGGAGGGAAGCAACTGTTGCCAGTTACAGAATACACCCTCTGTATTTTAAGAAACGCACTCATAGTTCTTAAAGCTCCCACAATCTTTTTTTCTTTTGTGCTTCTTAAGTAGTAACTGCTAAAATTGAAAATGCCCATTGACCTAGGATATCCCAGGAGCGGAGCAGCCTGTCCATCCACGCACTCTCTAAGCCCCTGGAGGTGTTTGACAGGCGCGCTCAGCAGTGACACAGAGCGCGGAGACAGAGCAGTGAGCCCAGCCAGGGCTCTCTGCCACCGCGCTGAGATAAGTCAAGCCCTTCACACCAGCGGCTGCAAAGAGCTTATTCCACACTCTCAGCAAGATAAGCTGCCATCCACGCCTCACGGGACACTCAGATCTGGACAGCTGCTCAGAGCGAAAACGAAGAGATGGGAATAACCACACGCATTTCAGTGAGGCAAATGTGCTGATTTTGACTTGTTTTGACTCCAGTGCCATGAGGAGCCCCCAAGAGCAAGGCCGGTGGGATGCGGGCTTTCCTGGCCTGATGAGGTGGACCAGAGGAGGGAATTCCCACAGCAGTCAGCCTCACCAGCTGAGCCGCCCGTGGACGATGGCATTTGTTTGCCCATTTTCAGCTGAACCTGAGGTTCAAAGGGTTGAACGATGGTCCCCAAGTTCACACAGTTGGGGAACCTTGGATAAAATTCACACTCTTATCACTGCTCCCTCCCAGCTCTCTAAGCAGCTTTGGTTACACTTGTTGGACTTGGGGAAGGTGGATATAAAATTTTGATGGTATTGTGATGAACACTTCTCTGGCCGCATGATGAGTGATGTTTTCCCTGAAGGCTGCTTGAACCT